AAAAACCATTATACGTAACGCATGGGGCCTGAACGGAAGCACCTGATAACCAAAAATTCTATTCCATTGAGCTATTACTACTATACCAGGATCACAACATCATATCAGATAAATAATATACAGGAAACATACACACACATACATCGACTCAGCCCATAATTAGGCATATGACAAAACATATTAACGAAAGATAATCAATGCATAAACCTCAAAAGCCTAACAACACTTTACAAAATGCACGGGCTTCAGTTAGTGCCTGGACACACCGAGGTTGACAAGAGGGAGATGAATCTTAAGGGTTAAGACTGGCCTCTCGGTTGATTACCTACAGAAACAGACAAAATACAGAATGAGTAAAACTCAATGAATAATAGTACATAAATAATGTAAGGTTTAACTTGAATAATAAAGCATAAAACTGCGGAGGTATATGATTGATTTCATTCTGTAATTATTCCAAAATAGCCATAGCTCCAGTTTTCTTAACAGAGTGGTTTTAAGCCCAGTATGTACAGAACGGCCAAAGGTCTTCAGATACAAAGCGGCCATAGGCCCAGAAATAACGGAACAGCCTTTCAGTCCAGAAATATATACAGAACAGCCTTTCGGTCCAGAAATATACAGAATAGCCTTTCGGCCTAGAAATATACAGAACAGCCTTTCGGCCCAGAAATATACAGAACAGCTTTTCAGGCCAGAAATATACAGAATAGCCTTTCGGGCCAGAAATATACAGAACAACCTTTCGGCCCAGAAATATACAGAACAGCTTTTCAGCCCAGAAATATACAGAACAACCATTCGGCCCAGAAATATTCAGAACAACCTTTCGGCCCAGAAATATACAGAGCAGCCTTTCGGCCCAGAAATATACTATGTATGGACTCAAGAGGTGGCTCGCACGGATTCTAGAGGTGGCTCCCACCAAGGTGTAGCACTTAGTTCCGTGCAGCACTTTGTTCCATACCAGAATATATCAGAACAGATTAACTTCAGAATCATATAGGACATGTACACATTCTTCCCTTTATTCACATGAATTAACAAAGATAATATCAGTTTAACAGAACGTTGCTGATAATTATTCGCAAAAAGGTAAATATATTTTACAGAGTGAACGCTTCCAGAAATATGTAGATACCACAATTCCATAATGCATATACATCCCATGTGCTCATCATGTTTCAATACTACTAACTAGCAGATAACATAATGCTAATATTCATTATCCATAGCAAACAAAACGTTTAGTGCAATGATGCACTTAGATTTCCTCATGGTTCTTTGGAAGTCGACATACTTGTCTCGTAATTAGCAGAACCTTAACATTAACAATAATCTGAAGGTAAAGGTACTAGTACATCAATAGGTCAGAACAATTCATATCACAACATGAGTCACGCAACAATGTCGTTGATAACTCAATTCCTTCCTATTAACCAAGTTCACAGTGTTAATAGTTTGTATGCAATTTTTGTATGAAATCACAGGTAATTCTTAGGATGGTACATTAACATTAATCTTTAGCCATAACCAAAACACGAGGTAGGTTCAGAGTCATAACGATGTACACCAAATCTTTTCAATGTTCCCACTAATTTCCAATCAACATAATATCAACATAGCTACTTGTGAAGAGCAGAGCGTTAATAAACAGAATTATTAACGGAATTCAAATGTGTGATTACAATGCTATTACTCACAGTGCTATAACGGAGCGCTTGTCCTTCCCGAGTTATGCCCTACACACGTACACAACTTATACATTAATTCCTTTTTCTTTCTTAATTCATTCCCTGCTTCATTTTACTTCGAATGAATTTACAGGCATCTTAAGGGCATCAAACACAAATTCTAAAAATATCAAAGGGTTAAGCACGTAAAACAGAGCAAACAACATTCTTCGCCGAGCAATTCAAGCTGTTTTCGGACCGAAGTATCCGGAGGCGATTGACATTGTTCGATACAGATTTTCTGGAGCATCGATTCGACGGATGGGGGGAGAAGGACTTCAGAGAAAGGTTCAGCCATAGTTGGTTACTGTTTGTTTCCAGGGAAAAAATAAAACAAGGAGTTGCGATTTCAGAGGATTTGGAACCAGATTCGAAACTCTGGCTAGAGAGATGAGGGGGAGGGCCGATTGGGAGAGCTAGTTTTTCAACGACAGAGAAAGGTGGTGAACAGGATTAATGATTGTTTCGCGAGAAAATTTTGGAGTTGAGACTCGGTTTCTGTTTGGATTCTGGAATTAAAATTCCCGCTCTTAGAATGGGTGATTGTGAGATGAAGAAGTGATGTGTATTTATAGTCCTCGATTGAGCCTTGAGGGTTTTAAATTCGAATGATTAAAATTATTTTTGTTTTATTTTTCTATTAAAATTAATGATCTAAACGTCCGTTTGGACAGAAAATATTTTTAAATATAAATATTTTTAACAAAAAAAAAAAAAAAAAAAAAGAAGAACTTCATAATTTGAACATCAATTTATATTTGAAACATTAATCATTCCATTCTATCAAACTTTGAGCCATGCGCATACTATCAAACTGATACTAACAAACATGTAAAGGATAGATTCAACAAGGGAAATTGACTCGACATACCTCAAACTGCACAAAACCGTTTCTAGCATTCCACAAGATTGATAGCCCTCCAACATGTCGGGTGTTGTCCTACTCCATCTTTCAAGATATTTGTACTTTGTCGATATAGTGCTTTCTCAATGGTGATTACCCCAATGGTTTGTAATGTGGTACCTTTGCATTATTTAACTTCGCTGCCGCTCTTTTTTTTGGTTTGATGCAAATTCCTTACTTTTCACTCATCTCATATCTCTCTTTTCTTTTGCGCACATATCCACATTTGGGGTTTTACATTGATTTCCAAGGAGAGATGTGGTATTGGTGGGAATTTTACAAAAGCTTGGCACCATAGCAGTAGACAAGTTGTATGATTTTCAAGACGAAGGATTCTCCAATTGAGGCAATTGGCAATGTTGGTTTTCTTCTGATGGTTGAAACTAAGTGCAATTTGAGAGACATGACAAAGACTCGATGTACTTAATTGAAGATAACATACCCACGGCATGAATCAATAAAGCGATACAGCCACGACACAAGACAACATACCCACGACACGAGACAAGACATAACATCAAAAGCCAAAGAAAGGAGAAAAAAATTCAATGTGAATGATCATTTAATGTGCCCCTAGTTTCGCTTATGCTTCCTTATTATTCAAAACCGCCTTCAAAATTCAATTTTGTAAAAATTAAGTTTCATTTTCTTTTGAGCTTGGTGAACTCATTTTGAGACCAACCTTATTGATCTGAACCGTTCTTCTTTTAGGACTCTTTGAGTAAAATATTCATGCAAAAAATAAGATGATTTGGCATTAGTAACTATATGTTTGAATCATATTTGTATTGTAAAAAATGGATCACTATTCTTGAAATTATAGTTATTGATATGTACTGATATTTAAATATATAGTTATAATTCAAACATATAGTTACTGATATTTATGTATCTTTATTTTTTGTACGAATATTCTACCTAAGGAGTCTTAAAAAGTGTACTATTCAAATTATCAAGATCAGCCTCAAAATGAGACCACTAAACTCAAATACTCTCTCTAGTTGGATGGCCAATTTAAGAGAATTCAAACCCAATTTTTTACATCAATATACTGATTAATATAAATAGTGGTTGATGCGATAAGAATAGAAAAATAATAAATTTTAATGGTCTTGAATTTTGATTTAAACAAATAACAAAGTGTGCCATTACTTTTTATTTTGAGAGAATTATATGTAATTAGAACAGATAAAAAAAAAAAATTAGGGATGTAACTCTGAGTTGCATCCCACTACATAAGGAGTTGGAACTCCCATGTTTTACAATTTTTTTTTTTTTTTTTTTTTTTTTTTTTTTTTTTTTTTTCCCTTTTTTTTTTTGTCTTTTGTCCTATTGTTTGCCTGTTATTTTCTTATTTATTTGTCTAATGAAACATCTAGAGTGTGGAGCTCTATTGGACTTTTTCTTGATAGGGTAAATTATAAATACACCTCTTTAGATTTATTTAAAATATAATTTGTCCTCTGTAATTTTAAAAATTATATCTTCTCCCTTGAAATTTATAATTTCATAAAAAATGACATTTTTTATTAATAAATCATCAAATCAATTAATAATTTTTAATAATGCCAGAAATATATTTCAATTATAATTTCAATAATTTTGTCATTTATAGAAGAGCAGTTAGGAATTTCAAATTTTCAATTAATTCTATTACATAAATTTTTTTGATAAAGAGTATTTGTAATTTTTCAAATCACAGAAGGACATTCATACTTTAAGTAAAGTTCAAAGAATGTACTTGTAATTTACCATTTTTAGTATAATTTTAAGTTATTTTTATATCATAACTAGCAAATAAAATCCATGAAACACCCTAACAAATATTTTTAAAAAAATAAAAATAAAAATCGTAAACACCCCAATAAATAAATAAAAAAACCATGGCAAAAGAAGAATGTTCAATAATTTTGCCAAGAATATGTTAGGGTGGTGTTAGATTAAATTAGTGTATTATGGGAGTCTGTGTAAAATAAATATCAACTAAAAATTAATATTTCTGAATAAAAAATTTATGAATGTGTAGTACTAATGAAGGAAACTCCGCTAAAAGGGTCACAAAGAAAAGGTTGCATTTTAATAATAATTAAAAAAAAAAATTTAAAAAAAAGAAGGAAAAAGTCTAAAAGAATCTTGGTCCTCAATTCATGTACTCTTCTTTGGACAGGCAAACCTTGTGAATAAGGAATACAAAAAGATCAGACAAAGCAATACACAACAGAAAATTGAGATCCAAGAGAAAGACAAGGATACCTTACTTCACTGTGGAGGCTTTTTTCAAAGATTCAAAACCTGGACTTGCATGCAAAGCATAACCAACCTTTGCTTGCCTTCCCTCTCCTACTCAAAACCCTATCTATCTATCACCAATCTCCATACAAACGTTTCCTTCCTTTCTTACTCCACCAGCTTCTCTTTCAAATATACAGAGCAGCAAATCTTGATAAGCAAGTCATTTCCCTTGGAGAAGAAAATTCACAATAGGCAGTGTCTCAGATAATGGAGAGCTTGATTAGGCAAACAAGGTAATTCTGATATCTAAACTCCACTCTTTGCAGCAAAAAATAAAATAGCTCTTATATGTATATGGTTTTTGAATTACTTGTTTCATTATCTCTATCAATCAATATATGGGGGGAGAAAAAAAAAAAAAAAAATTTATAATGCCTTTTAACTCACTTGTCATGCTTTGAAATTTGCACCTGAAAGCCGATGGTTAAAATAAAAAATAGGATAAATTATGTGAATAGCGTCAGAATTTTTTTTCTTATGCTAGTTTAATCACTGTCATTTCAATTGCAACATATTTATCCTTTCAATTTTTAATATGGGTCAAATAAGGTCAAACTTTAAACGGAAAATAGTCATGTGCACTGCACATAATATTTTCTTTTAAGGATAATAATGTCATTTTTTTTTTCCAATCCAACTCACTGAGTTAACTCGACATTGACTCAACTCATATTTATCATGCTCATCCAACCCACCAGCCACCATCATTAACACCAACCATATCTGTTTTTTATTTGCTTAGATACATATATTGATAGGTTAACAGAGGCATTCACCTTTGAATTGGTGGAACCCATTTGTTGGTTTGTTTTAGTGGTGGAACTTATGATTAGGAGACTAGAGGTAAACGACGAGTAGTGGATTTAATTTGCAGACAAATTTATTGCTTGCTAATGATTTGATTTTACTTGGTCTGATATGTAATAGAGGGAGAGAGAGTGGGTCTAATTTTTTGAAAGGAGATCTGGAGAGAGAGAAGGGACAGTCAACCCCAGAAAAGAAGGCCAGAAGTGATGTAGAGAAGGGGGGGATACAGAGGGGTGGAGGGGGATTCAGTGTGGTCAAGTACATGGATACATTAGCATAAGTGGTTCTGATTTGTTAGTGGTAAAAAATTATGTTGATTGTGCCCTAAAAAGAGTGTCATGTGCATTGCATGTGATCAGCTTCGTCTAAAATTTGGATGGGGTTAACTATTGTTGTTATTTGATACATATTGAAAAATCAAAGGGGTAAATATATTGTAATTGAAATGATAAGAATCAAATTGACACAAAAAGTAAAGTTTAGGTGGTATTGGCATTTGTTCTAGAAAATAAAAAGTGGATAGTTAGATACCATGTACCACCATAGAGATACAATAACATCTAGGGAATCTAAGAATTTAATGCATAGGAAAACAAAGTTGATTACATGATATGCTTCAAAATACAGAAACGATCACCCACACAAGCTAGATAAATTACATTTACTGCACATGAAGAGCATAAAATTTATATGGTTTACTCCAAAATTAACACTACATATATTACTGTTATAGTTTTCACTATAAATTGAAAGGTTACACAAGATTAACAGAGATAGCCATCTCATTTCAACTACAAAAACATAGAAATTAAGACATTAGGTCACAAGTGTGGAATACAATAAATATCTACACTTCAAAATTCGGGTAGGATGCAAGCCCCCTGAACACCTTCTTTTGAGATCGAGTGGTTAGTGATCAAAACTTATCAAGATCCACTTTACCCTAACATCTATTACTTCTTGAACGACAAAATTATGCAAGTTTCATTTTGTCATAGCATTCGTGTGTTGTCTTTCCAATTTGTTTTATGATCACTGACCACTTTTGTTAGGGTGAGATTTTCTGGTGTAGGTCAGGATAACAAAGAAGAGGCTAGCAACATCGGAGATAGAAGAATACCACCACAAAAAACTCAATCCTTCAAAGAAGGTATGTGGTAAACTCTTCACATTTTCCCCTACCCTCCCCAGAATTTTGGGGACTTCTTAGTAACTCAAATCAAATCTTAAATTATGAAAACATTTCAATTATATACACATCAGTCTGTAGAAGATAAAAGTAAACTTCCAACAAAAAGATGCCCTTAACCATCCCTGTTGTACATCAATCTACTCCATAATGGCCTCTAGGTGTGATGTATATTGATAAAGCAATGAAAACAAACCTTGGTAATGCATTTTGCAGAGAAAAAAAAAACTCAGAATTGGTTCCGAAGACAATTTTCTAGGCAAATGAGAGAGGATTATGATTTCGAAAATGATGACGTGTATCTAGTAGCAGTTGCAGCAGTAGCACTTGTCATTAAGTTGTTGGAAGAAGAATTAGGCATCAAAGATCAGAAAAAGAGTGAAGGACTTGATACCTCTTTGACCAAGATGTGTAGGTCAGGATAACAAAGAAGAGGCTAGCAACATCAGAGATAGAAGAATACCACCACAAAAAACTCAATCCTTCAAAGAAGGTATGTGGTAAACTCTTCACATTTTCCCCTACCCTCCCCAGAATTTTGGGGACTTATTAGTAACTCAAATCAAATCTTAAATTATGGAAACATTTCAATTATATACACATCAGTCTGTAGAAGATAAAAGTAAACTACCAACAAAAAGATGCCCTTAACCATCCCTGTTGTACATCAATCTACTCCATAATGGCCTCTAGGTGTGATGTATATTGATGAAGCAATGAAAACAAACCTTGGTAATGCATTTTGCAGAGAAAAAAAAAACTCAGAATTGGTTCCGAAGACAATTTTCTAGGCAAATGAGAGAGGATTATGATTTCGAAAATGATGACGTGTATCTAGTAGCAGTTGCAGCAGTAGCACTTGTCATTAAGTTGTTGGAAGAAGAATTAGGCATCAAAGATCAGAAAAAGAGTGAAGTACTTGATACCTCTTTGACCAAGATCAAGAGTAAAACAGAAGATACAAGAATTCGGGGATCAAAACTTGGTAAAATTTCCAGACGACTCTCAGGTAAGGATGTATAGTTTTACAGTTAATTATTCTACAACATAATAGATATGACGTTTTAATCATTTTTCTTTCATAACATCGACAAGTCTGTCTTTATCAGGTGAAACTTCGATGATAGATATGGAAGATCCAAACAGAAGGGTGCCATCAAAAATTGCAGTTACAAATGAAAAGAGGCCTGAAAAGGCCATTGGTCCTGTTCAATCCTTTAAAAGGACTCCAACTTTTGTTGATAAGGATAGAAAACCTGAAAGTGCTTTACCAACACCTGATCTTTCATCTGCCAAACAACCAACATCCCTACTAACTGAGATCAAAAGGCAGCCTTCAACAAAACCTGGAATAGGAGAAACTAAGGCAGATACTTGGGAGGAAGCTCAGATGGCCAAGCTTAAAGAAAAGTACTAATCTAATTAAACAGATGTTTATACTACAAATACTTGAGATTGAGCATGTAAATTCGAACAAATGAAGACTGTGCTGTATTACCACTAACAAAAACCATTTTCAGGTATGAGAAGTTGAATACCACAATTCTTGAATGGGAGAAAAAGAAGAAGGATAAAGCCAAACTCCAGAAGGATAGAACAGAGGTTTATTGCATTTCTCTTCTCCAATTTGACAGGCACTTGGAATTCTAGTAACTCAGAATTGACGATCTACTCTTTTGAACTGCAGAGTGAATTGGAGCACAGAAGAGCAAAAGCCTTACGACATTACCGTAGTGACATGGAAAGAATTGATCAAATTGCAGAAGGAGCAAGATCTCAAGCGGAGGAAAACAAAAGAAATGAGGAGTTCAAGATGAAAGAGAAGGCAAATAAAATCAGATCAACAGGGAAGATTCCAGCAACATGCTTGTGCTTCTAACTGTTGCCAAGGTCTCCCTTGTTTGAACAATTTGGAAAATTGTAAATATATTTCTATAACAAATCTGTAACCAACTCAATCACTAACACAACAGCATAAATGGAATTTATTTGCATCACTTATCATTCTATGTTTGGACAGCTTTGCAAATGAGCTTAAAACTATCATTAAGACAAATTGAAACAACAATCAATTATGGGGGTAGGGGGAAGACAAGTGGTAAATAAATGTATCAAGTTGCATATTAGGTAATACAAAAGTCATACAATTTGGCCAACCCATCACTAACGGAAACAAATGTCAAATAAAAGCACATTATGGTCTCACCATTTATGCTAGTCATGTTGTTGAAAATTTGGATGAGAAATCTCTAATTAGGTAGGTAATGTCAATTAAAAGCACATTATATGTGGTTTCACTATTTATGTTAATTATGTTGTGGAAATTTTGGATGAGAAATCTCTAATTAGCTAGGAGGCTACAATAATTGGCAATATGGAACCCAATGAAGGAAAGCTGAATAAACATGCTTTAAATGATTGGTTCACCTAAGTTTCTTTAAGACCCATGGAGCAACAACAATTCAAACAAATGGTTAGAAAGTTGTCCACAAAATTACACACTAAAAACTAAAATTTCACAAAATCTTGTGCGTTAGTAAAGAAATAGGTCCATAATGTTTAAACTGTAAAACATGAAGGAAATGGAAAGAAATAGAATCATATGGATATCCAATGACAAGGAGTAGAACAATATTCATGAAGCACAGAGGTTATGAGAGGGTAATTTGTGTAAGCAAATTGGGCCGAGTTAGGTAAGATTATCTTTGGAGGTTGGGCCACGTAGTAGGCCGGTTTTAGAGTTGGGATAGCTCGGTCTTGGGTTAAGCAAGCACTAGGCCGGTTAGAGATGGGTTGCTAGGGCCCGGATCTAGCTATCAGCAGTCCATTACCGGACCGAGATGTCTTCAATAAAGAGGGTTGAGCCATGTGTAGCTCGGTAAGGTGCCACTCTATAGCTAGGGTTAACGCGAGTCTACCAGAGGAAGCACTACCTTGTCAGCTTAGTTGACCGTAACAACAACCAAACAAAGAGTTTGAACCATCTCACTTGGTTGGCAGTGAGAAAGGTGTTCTAAGGATAACCATTATCCTTTAGGAATGTGATTCCTATGAGGACTTTGCTAAGGATAGATAGAGTCTTACTAGGATTGTACTATGCGAAATCTATAAAAGCTCATGACAGAACCTATTCCCAGGTATTGCAATTCTGACTCTTGAATACACAGAGCTTTTTGTTTATTGTCTACTTGCTGATTTAGGCATCGGAGGGGTTTCCGGTATACACCCACCGACTAGCTCACGTTTGTATTTTCAAGTGATAAGACGACGACGTTTGGAGGAGTGCAAACTTGATCAACAGGATTATATAAGAAAGATTATTTTGTGCTCGCACAATTGGCGCCTTCTGTGGAAAAATACAGAGAACATAGCTCTTGATTAAGCTTTCCTTCAACTAGTTTCAATGGCACACAACGAAGACTTGCCTTAGTCTGTCGTAGATGGACAGACTCCAGAGGCGAACAAGAGGTGTGAGGATTTTCCTTTTGTTCCGCCCATGGCAGACTTAGACCCTCAGTGACAGAACCCTCATAGGAGTGCACGGAAAAAGCATGGCTTGAGTCCTCATTGCTTTCAAAGCCCAAATGGACGACAAAAGAGGATGGATGCCTAGATTCTGGAGGATCGTGTGAGGAAGTAAGACGAATTAATTAGAAGAATGACGGCTGACATGGAAGCCATGAAATCCTAGATGAAGGGCAAAGGAGTGGTAGGGGCAAAAATCCGCGAAGACAAAATGCGTTCTCGCTGCTCAAGAGAACGTGATACGAAAGCCATACCAACACATTCTAAGAGTAGGAGCCTTTGGACAAACGATACGCATTCAAGAACGTTCAGGACTCGTTACTCCAGGTCAGAGAGAACGAGGCCTGAAAAGTCTTACACGGAGGGAAGAAATTATCATCCCTCACATACTCACCAAACCACCTCTCTGTACACTGAGCTGCCCAGATCAGTAGATCTATGAACAGTTCTAGAAGAAAGGGCGCGATGGAGAGAAAAAGCCCAAATCCATGACCCTCAAAGGATCTCAACTTTGCCGCAGCTGGCACCTAGGACGGATAGAAGCTACAAGGTTGGAATGCCAGTACCATACCTTGCTTACGAACCAGCTAATAAGGCATTGGCAAGGTTGTAGAGCTCACTGTTTGTTCTAGCGATAGAGAACACACCACAACCCTTGGGCTTCAACTAGCCTCAGTACATGATCTACGATAGGAAGTCAGATCCTCACATGCATTCAAGCCACTTTTGCCAAGTTATGACCATACACCAGGGGAACGAGGCTCTAATGTGCATTCTGTTCCCATCCAGGCTTGTAGATTTGGGCTTAACTTGGTTCAAAAAGTTGCCAGAAGGCTATATTACTTCCTGGGTACAACTTGCGGAGGCATTTATTACAAGGTTTAAGACAAACACCAAGACACCAGTTGAGATAGATCAATTGATCGCCATAGACATAGGCGATAAAGAAACATTGAAGGCTTACAACAACAAATATTGGGAAACCTTCAACCAGATAGGCGATTGCCCCACCAACCTACATATTGTGGAGTACAAGCGAGGTTTTCTAGTAGGCCATAAGTTAAGGGATTCAATGACAATGATGTCGCCCCTCACTATGGAAGCCCTGATAGAGAGAGTACTGTGGACACCCCATTTTTGACCAACCTTAAGACTCAGACGTCACCGATTGAGCGCTTGGTGATGTTGCGTATCGTGCTCGTTCTGAGGTTTCAGAGTCTCGGCTGCGAGCCTTACCTCCGGACTTCCGGACTCTTTCATGCTTCGCCTCGGTTTGCGAACCAGGCGTTGTTTTCTCTGTTTTCTCTTCCCGAAGGGAGGGAGAGGTCTCGTAGATCATCTCTCAGTGGCCGTAGGCCACATTTCGTGGTCGTAGGCCATTTTGCCCATTTGGAGTCTGGTTTCCGATTTTTCAGAGCCGTTGGCCGTGTGCCTCGGTTCGGGACCACTTAACCACCTCCGTTTGCTCCGGTTTTTGGCATGCATCTTATTTTCTCCCTTTTGAGGGACACTGTGGCTCGAAAAACCAACTTCGTGGTCGAACACCACTTCCGGTGCCTAACAGTCAGTTTTTGGGGCCTCGGGCTGCACGTTTCGGCCCCCGAACCTTCATTTTGCATCGGTTTGAGTTCATTTTTGGCAGGGACCTCTGTTTCATTGTTAGAAAGGTCATAGAAGGGTGGAAGGCCAGTAATTGTTCTGACAACCAGTTTCATTCCTCCATTGCCCTCCGTCGCCCGTTTTTCTCACTTGAAAGCCAATGTTGACCACCCTAAGGCCACTTTTTCTTGCCCCAAACCACATATTTGTGTTGTACACACCTGGGAGGCCACCAATATCACATGGCCGGCCAGTAATTGTGTGTAACCTTTTTGAACCCCTCCTAAAAGTGGCCTCTTCTCTCTCCTGGTTCACTTTCCCTAGTTTTTGACCACATGGTTGTGTTGTGCACACATGGGAGGCCACCAATCTGGGGTGGCCGGCCACTAATCATGATTTACCCTTTTGACCCTTGGCCGGCCGGCCATGGGAAGAGCCGGCTGGCCATCTGCAACTTGGATAACCAGCCGGCCTTGATCCTCTCTCCAAGTACATTACAGATGTGTATTCTGTTTCCCCCAGATTGTGTATCCAGGGGGCTGCATTTTTTGGGGGAAACTTGAATTCATTTCCCCCCCATTTTTCCCCCATTTTCTCCCCCTCTTTTGCCTATATAACAGCAGCTCCAGCTCCCATCTGAGGGTTACAAAAATTGCTCTTAGCCTCCTATATTGATCCTCCCTCTCCTTCTCTTCCAAGCACCAAAATCCTTCAAATCCTACACCATTTCTACACTACCTCATAGCACAAGGCCTCCATACTCCATACCAGCAGCTTGAGGCTGTTTTTCAGAGCTAAGGAGCCACCAAACTCAAGCCAAGAGTTGTCAAAGACATAGGCTACAAGGGTAAGTCTCCTTCTCCCTCTTTCTTGCCTATTTTTGCTCAATATATTAGCCATACTTTCTTCCATTTTTGGGGTCCGACCCTAACTGAAAATAGTCATTTTTTGAGGTATTTTTCATGTTTGATTAAGGGTCCTTCCCTGTTTAAGGGCTCCAGCCACCACTTGCTTCTATACCCCTCTTGTATGCCTTTTTCTTGCATGGTATTTTAGTCATATTTGTAAACTGTTTTGAGGCATGTTGTAAACTGAAAAGTTACTTATTTTGAGCCCTTATTCAACATTATTGAAGGGCTCTTCACTGTTTGAGGCCTCCATCTGTCACTTGCCTCTTTATCCATCTTTTGGCCTCATATTTGCATGTTTTGTTAGCCCTTTGTGCTTATATTTTTGGGCTCTGGTCCGAACTGTGAATAGCCTTATTTTGACTCCCTCTTCATGTTTGATCAAGGGTCTTTTGCTGTTCGAGGTTCCCTTCTTGCTCTTTGTGTTTAAACCTCTTTTTAGGCCTTATTTTGCATAGTATTTTAGGCTTGCATGTGCACTGTTTTGGGTTTGATCATAAACTGTAAAATACCATTTTTTGGGCCCCTCTTCAACTTTGTTGAAGGGCCCTCCTCTGTTTGACGCCAGAAACCATCACTTGCTTCTTTGTCCCCCTTTTGGCCCATTTCTTGCACAATAGTTTAGCCATACTTGTGTTTGTTTTCATGGCTTGTTGTAAACTGTAAAGTACCATGTTTTGAGCCCCTATTCAACTTTGTTGAAGAGATCTTGCCCATTTAGGGCCAGAAGCTACTACTTGCTTCTCTATCTCTCTTTTGGGGCCATTTTTGCATGTTAACTTAGCCCTATTTGTGTTCACTTTTTGGCCTTGCTTGAAACTGTAAATATGCTTGTTTTTGGACTTTCTTGAATCTGTCTTCATGCTTCATGATCAAATAGTGCATGCTTTGTATAGCTATAGGCCATTGCATATGCCTAGTTTTTTTTCAAATTTCAAGATGTGAGTGATAATACATATGTAACTCCAC